AATTATCAAGTTTTGTTTTTGAAAATTTAACTGTTAACAATATAGGTATTGTCTTAAGGAATCACAAATTCAAAATCCAATAAAATCATCGGTTCACTGGCATCCTCACAAGGTTAATGCCCTCACGTTTACAAGTGATGGTAAAACGTTTAATGTGTCTTGTTAAAGTATGCATTACAATTTTATTCTATTCTCATGGCTGCGTATATATTATATCTAGGTACATATCTCCTTTCTGGAGGTGAGGAATCAGTTCTCGTGATATGGCAAATTGAAACAGGTCATACGCAATTTCTTCCTCGCCTTGGATCTGAGATTCAATCCATCACAATAAGTCCTGATCAGGCCTTATACGCAATCAATTTATTGGATAATTCTATAAAAATATTATCTGCGGTGAATTTGGAAATAAAACAGGCCATCCAAGGATTAAAACATGGTATGAATACAATAATATTATTATATATGCAATCTGATTTGTATCGTCATTTGGGAGTTTTTCATTAATTGTATTTCATTGGCTTAGCACAAATGGATGCTTCCATATATCCTTTATCTACGGGCCTTGTTATTGAGCCGCGAAATCATTTTGTAGTCCTTAATGGTCTTCCAGGAACTATACAATTCTATAACCCTTATGCGGATCGGCATGTAATGGAACATGAGGTATCTCGGCGGACGATGATATCAAGAGCGTTCGAAAAAGATATTGTTTATCCCAATGTGATTCACGTGTCATTTTCATCAAACGGCGATTGGATGGTCACGGTAAATTTTTTGAAAGTATTGCTTGACCGTAACTTTAATATGTTTTTGATTCAATCAATCGATCTAGGTCGATTCTCGAGAAGATGGCGAAACCACTCCAGAGTTATATTTAAAGTTTTGGCAGTTCGATCCTAATTCACAGACATACGTTCTTAACACGCGTGTCGACAATCCTCATTCTAAAGCAGTTGTATCGTTAAATTTTCATCCTGGCACAAATGATACCTCCATAAGCTTTGTTACTACAGGTTTAGATAATAAATTCAAGGTGTGGGGGGTCAATTCTGAGTCACATATGTCGCAGGCGCCTAAGGGTATGTATAATTCATTGCTTCATTTCATTAGATATACATTATTTACTAATTATTTTTTTAGATGCGGCATCGTGGATATGTAAATTCGTTGGTTCCTATCGACAATATACTCCACACGCAACAGCGTTTTCACAAGATGGATCTATACTTTCAATTGCATATGGTTCCATAATAACTCTATGGGATTCTCAATCTAATGTTCTTAGGGATGTTTTAACTCTTATACCAAATTATGAGCATATTAGGCACTTGGTGTTCACGAATAATTCGCCGTTTCTTGTTGTCACTACGCAGAATTATTTGTACGTATGGAATTTACTTACCTGTACAAGTAAGTACAATTACCTGAACTTTATTATAAATTGTCATTCGAAAAAATTATTATTAACAACGTAATGTTGTTAATTTCACGTATTTGAGTTTGGTGGGGTCATAAGGTCGAAGTACATCATTTAGCCATAGATCCTAAAAGTTCCCGTTTTGTTGTTGCAAGCAATTGCAAGAGATTGCAAGGTATTAATTATTATTAGTTTTTTAATATAATCTCAGTTATTTTAACTTTAAATCATTTTTGTTTCAGAGTGTCGCCTTTTTGTTTTTGAGCCGCAAACTGCTATACCAGTAATGGTTCACACCATAAAAGATATAATCAATGCAATAGCTTATTTGCCCAGAAAGTTTGATGCTAACTCATTTTCAAATGCACAGTCATCATACATAATATATCTTAATCAATATTACAATATGTTAATAATTGATAGTGATTGTAGTCAGTTAAAAAGTCGGGTCGATAATTTTGATACGACTAAGTCGACTTAAATCTGCCAATAATAAACTATAATGGATCAACATCGATAGTAAATTGAATAAAAAAAAATAAATTTTTTTTATGGCAACGTATTATTTTTTTTTTTTAAGAATGATATCAGTCACAGGACATGTCCCCCCGATGTAGGGTGTCCAGGATTGGGGCCAATTATGCGATGGATGCGAAATAATTATAAAATTATGTGAAATATTTAAATAGAGGATGCGGTTTATTTTATACATTATTTACTCTGTATTTTGGAAATTTTTTGGTTGTTTATCAAAAAATTTACTTCAACCATGCTCATAATTTAAATAATCATATAGATTATATCAGTACTATACTGAGTTCAATCAAATAGTTAAAACCAATTTAAATTTAATATGAAATCAAGATGTGTGTTTTCTGATTCTTGTATAAAATTTATTATCAATTAATTTTTCATCAACAAAATTTTTTCAAATTTGATTATTATAAATATTAAAAAAAATATTTTTAGGAACATTATAATTTATTTGATATAATAGTTCAAAATTGGAATGTATATATATTTTTGCAAGTTGGTTTTTGATATTTGCAAAAGAATAAAATTAAATCAATTTATTAAGAGGTTTGGATTCTGTAGCTTATTGGTTAAGCTCTCAAACCTCACAGACAAGGTTGACAGTTCAAGTTGGGCTGGAGGCAAATAATTTGTTTCTGTAACCTTCAGAGACCATAATTAAATGTGGAGCCTTGTGGTCAAGTCCAAGCGCAGGTATGAAGCTAGAAAAGAAATTTCCAGAAAGAGACCTAAATATGGAGTATTAGCATTACATGTAACTATGGTATTACAGAAGACTGTGGCTATGAAGATTGCACGAATAAGTTCTTAAGAGACGGGGCAGCATCAATATCCTTGTATCTTCAAGTTTGGCAATACTAACATCCCTACATCTAACTTGTGGGGTACTTGCTTGGAAGGGTGATCAACAGATTGCGTGAATAAGTTCTTATTTAGAAAGAAGATATGGGTACTTGCTTGGGAGGGTGATCATTATAACCAAAGTTAGAAGTGGTGAGAAAAGTGGTGAACATGTGGACGGTCTGTAGTAAAGGATTGGCCTTATCAGAATCAGAAGCATCTCTGGCAAAGCAGAATGAAAATACTATAGAAGGCTAAGATTATGGAGGTTGTCTGATGTTCTGTGTATATAAAAGATACCAAATCAGACTCTGGTCGCACCTATATGGAAGTCTATAATGAACAAGTCTAGAATCTACTAACCTCTGGGGTTTATAATAACAAATAGTAGTATGGCATCACTGGGGTTGGTGTAACTCTCTAGGAATAACCAGAATTGTCCTGGTATTGTATGATATATGCTGAAAGCAAGCATTATATGGTAGTATAGTATCACTAGGGTTGGTAAACTCCCTGAATATAATCAGAATTGTCCTGGATGCTTGTAAAATATGTTCTAAACTCACCATAGCAGGTAGTACTTAGAAGAACTGAAGAAGGTACTAAGTAACTGTATAACATTAAGATCTGAGGCATCTGTGGTTGAGCTGTGGTAGCAGAAACTGGCTTGAGATACAGGTTAGTAGTACCTGAGCAGATAAGTGGTAAAGGTTACCTGACAATAAAATACTAATACTATCATGTGGTAAACCTAACTAGGCAGCAGTTTTTGGTTTGAGATACGAGTTCCTGCAAATTCTGGACCAATGTTAGAATATTTTAGGGAAAACAATAACATGGCATACCAAACTGGGAGATTATAAAGATTTATAACCTGAATATTACCAATTTAGAAGTTGTATAGAAGCAAGGCGGTAGAAGCGGAAAACATAGGCTTAGCTAGATATAGTAGTTTCAGGATGCAGAAGTAGCATCAGTACAGGTATGATCCTCCTTCACCGGCTTAGCGGTTTAATGATAATGCTTCTCCAAAGTTGGGAGGTATTCTGATCACAAGTATTAGTCTCGGTCATAGCATGCTGGTAGTGCAACAAGGATATATCTGGGTATCCATTTGGGTAGCCAGATAATGTTGTTGGGTTTCTGTGTTAGGTTAACATAATCTAGTAATAGGTTGTAAAATATTTCAAATAATTATGTATATATTCTAAATATATCTAATAAAGAATCACCGGTTTTCCTTGCCAAGTTTAAAAAAAAAAAAAAAAAAAATCAATTTATTAATAGTATTTTTTAAATATTGATTTTGTGTTGTTAATATCGAATTATATGTAATTATTTGTTTGGATTTAAATTATATTTGAAAATTTAATATAATTATATTTTTTATTGACAGTTGTTCTTTATTGTTTTATAAATTAATAATCTTTTTTCAATATATAATTTGTTACAATTTGGACAAACTGAATATATTATAAAATATTAAATTTTAAGATATTTCTAAAGTATATATATTGAGTTTAAAAAATTCTAAAATATATTTTTATTATTAAACTTATATAAAAATTGCTAAACATATTTAACCAAAATTCCAATAATTTCTTTAAATATTTAAACTAGTTTAGTATTTTAATAACCAAATTAATATATTATTATAAATAAAAAATATTTTGAAGTTTGAGAAATTTTTATAAAAAGTAGATGTTTTAGTTTACTTTCTTCAAAAAATCAATATTATATACATCAAAATAGTTAGCATTGTTTACTTTTCAAATTGGTATAACAGAACAACAAACACATCAAGACATGTATCTCAAATATAATAATTCAATCAAACAATACTCTGAGATTAAAATTAAGTATTGACCTTCTATATATTTCTAGTCAATAAAGTTTTTCTACTAGTTTTTAATTTTTATATACTATATACTGTAAATAAATATAAAGTAGAAATTATTTTATTTAGTAGTATATAATTTTTATCAGTCTTTCACAGGTTTACTAATATAATATTAAAATAAACAAAATTTTTTTTTTTAATATTCTTTTATTCCTTTCTTTTCTTACTTATATATTTTATTATTATCCTCTATACCTTTGTATTTTTTCTTTTTCTTCTATATATATATTTTTTTATTTGGTTTCTTGACAAAACAATAGGCTGTTTTAGCTAATAATTAGAGAGCTCAAATCTTTAGATAGTTGAGAATTTAATATAAAGTACAATTGTTACTAAGTACTGTAGTATAATATCTAGACCTTTAGATCAAATGAATCTTTATAAATAAGAATATAGTATAACAAGTTTTGTATATCTGTTAGTAATAATTTTTTAGTACTTTTAATAAAGTAATAAAGATAGAATTGCTGAAAAAAAAATATATTCTAAAGTTAAATTGAATTTTTTTTTATAATTAATATTCAGTATTAAATAATTTTTAAATTTATTAATATCATTATATCAAATATTTTTAACTAATTTTTTAGATAATAAATTATTATCATTATTATAATTGATGATCTGTGAGTCAACTAGACAAACTATATAGTAAAATATGACTTAAATTACTATATAAATTATATATGTCTCAAATACTATGATCATTCAAGAAAAACTTTGCTAAAACCTTGCATTTAATAGCAAAATCTTCAAGAAATTGTTACTAATTAGTTACATGATTGTTACAATTTGTTATGACTAACTTTCTTAATATATAGTTACTATCTTGTTTTAATATTGTATTTAAATCACAAATAAATTGTATAATAATCGTAACTGTATTATTACAATATCTTGCAAAAAAGTTATTACAATTTAGATTTAATATTGTAACAATATTAAAATAATATTGTTACAATTTTGACAAGAGATTGTGACTATATTTTCATAATAACATTACTTAAATTGTTATGATATTATGACGATTTAGATATAATTTCTTTACAACATTAAATAAATATTGTTTTAGCTTTGTAATAACTAGTTAGCAGATTTATATACGAGTTTCAAGTAAATGCAGAATTAATTATATGGTTATTAAGTAGCTATTAAATGTCGGGGATGATGCTGAAATCAGATGATGCTGAAATTTAGAGGCCTTAATTTGAAAATATAAATCCTACTAAAATCCACCTATACTCTTTTATTATAAA